GTAATATTCAAATTTATATTATTTACTATACTTTTATTATGATTTAAGATGAAAAAGTGGTATTTGCCCTGAGTAAATGTTTTCAACTTTTAAAGAAAGCCATCATCAACAAAGCTTTTTTACTTGATAAGTTATAATCTCAAAAATACTAAATTAGTATTTTTAAATATTATCATTTAAATAATATCAAAAATACATAACAGTGTTGGCCTATTTTTGATTGCGTGATTGAATCTCAAATTTATGTCTTAAAATGTACAAAAACGAATTCTTCTTTCAGTACAGCTAACTTGAAAAAAAAGAATTTTTTTTTCAACTCAAATTTTGCCGCCCCTAAATTTTAGAGCCCTAGGCGCCTGTCTATGTTGCCTTAACGGTGAATTCGCCATTGCACGTATATTTTTAAAGGTAGAAAATGGGGTAATAATATTACCGTGCAACCCTCAAAAGGTGATGAGAATGAGACCAAAATATAAATAGATACCAAAGGATTTGTAAAAGTATGTTACCTTTTTAATATCGTTTTGAAATTGTATGTATGTACACACATAGATCTAAAGTTCCACGCTGTAATTTACTGTTCAAAACAGTCTGCAGCTCATATTTTTCAACCGCATTGAAAGCTATTAAAATTTAAAAGAGACCTGAAAGAGAGTGAAATGAAATGACAGCTGTTTTCTATACAATACAATTTTACAAACGTTACTAAAAACGGGTCAAAAATATTTGTCGCCAAAGTTTTCGAAGTTCCCAGCTACTTACCTGACATTCGAAAAGACTAGATTTCCTTTTCCGATTATTTTTTCATCTCTTCAATAACTCCATTCCTCCAACAAGAAAAATTACAACACAGTTTTTTGATTAGATATATCCTTTATTGTTTTTAATTTTCATACATTTGTCATATTTGAGTACTTTGGAGGACTTTGAAATACATTTCTGAAACTTGTTTTTTTTACATATTGACGATTTGTTAAAATTTAAGCATTTTTAATAGACATTTGCTTATTTTAATTACAATAAACACAAACTTATTAAATATATTATATGTGCATTTACATGTATGAATTTAAATTAATGCAACTTAGAATTCGAAAAAAAAATCTAACTAAAATTTCTGTATAATTTATATTTTTTTTTTTCAATAACATTCTGTAGTAAAATATAAAATTCTTATTTTCGGATGCACATTTTCTTTATTATTTTATTTGAAAATTATGATAAATGAAGTCAGAAATTTAAGAGTTGACATAACTATTTGACTAGATTTTTTCTTTATTTTTTCTGAAATTCTGAAATATAAACTAAGCAATCAAAGTTAATAAAAAACTTTTAAACTAAATGCTCAAGTTATTTTTGGCATAAGCTATGTAAGTAGTAATTAAAAAAAAAGTTAGTTAAATTTGAAAAAAAAACACGAACAAATTATTACGAAATTTGCATGTTTTTAAAAGCAAACATTTTTATATATTTCATGTACATATGTAATATAGAGTGTCAAATAATGTCACGAATTTACATATGTAAGTATTTGTATAAGCATGTTCTTTTTAAGATTTTTATTTATATTGTTTACTATCTACGCAGCTTCATAATACTAATAAAACTTTGTTTCGCTGTAATGTTTGCGAGTACTACGTAATTTTATATATTCTTTTAATATCCTGGCATACATATGCACATACATATATTTGTATATAATCATATACATGCATATACACATAACTTTATATAAGTATGTGCTTATATTATTTAATGTTGGTTTATAATTAAAATGGTTTTAACATTTCTGTTAACATTTTTGTTTTGTATAAAATAAACTATAATCCTAGCAGCTAGCTAATCCTTAATTTATGTACAAAGCTCATTTTACCAGTTACTTTGATTATATTTTGCATGGCTTCATCTTTTTTTATTAAGTTTAACTTAACTGCTACTTCAAAGTACTCAAAATCGTTTCAAAAATTTCTTGAAATTACTTTGCATGGTGAACGCATAGCATAAATATACTCGTTTTATACAGTGGCGAAAACCTAAATAGGGACGCAAAACTTTAATAAGTTTTGGTTATTTTTTATTAGTTTTTTTAAAGTTTTTTTTATTTTTTATGAAAATATAGTTATATCTAACAAAAACCATGTAAGTCTTAAATTCAAAATTTGTAAAAAAATTAGAAAAATTCGACAAATTTTCATCAAAATCTTGAGCTTTTTAATTCAATTTCTTAGAAAAACTTTTCGTATACAGTTTTGTAGCCCATTAAAATGTATTATGACAAAGTGCCAGCTTGAATTACATTGGACTCGCTTTGATTTTCAGGATGTTTTTTGTTGCTCATTTTCTCCATATAAAAAAAATTATTGAACTTATGTACTTTATATTGACAAAAATGCGCAACACCGTAAAAAAAATTAAAAATAACACTGATTTGTAGTCAATAAAAACTAGCGCTTTACCAACCCAAAATGTAACTGGCTTTAAAACTGCATACTAAAACGTTTGAAATTTTTTTAAACTTTTCGCATTCTTAAGCGGCTTTAAAAAAATAACTAGGTTATCAATTCATCGGAATACAACAATTTTTTTTTTGTTATGTATATTAGCGCATAACTTTGCACCATGTTAACCAATTTCTTAATTAATTCTTTTTTTAAAGGAATGATGGTCCCGTACTAATATCGTTTAGATCCGATCATTCGATCATGAAGAAATTAACTGTACTTTTAAATTTTTATAAAGAGCTTAGAAGTCGGTTTTATTTTATTTTTTTCTTAAAAATTACTTGTCCTAATTTTTTTACAAAGTTTGGAATTCCATCTTGCATGGTTTTTGTTAGCTAATGAGCTATAATTTCCTAAAAAATAATAAGCGTTAAATAAGCGAAAGAAAAATAACCAAAACTTATTAAATTGTCGCCGCCCTATCTATTTTCCCGCCACCGTACATTCAGTCAGCTGAAATGCAAAAGGCCGTAACTAACAAAATTTTTTTGTTTACATAGAACGCTGTGAGAGACTTGCAGTTCGATGAAATGCATTAAAATCAAACAAAAAGTGAGTTTTACACTATTTTGTTAGTAAAAGCCTTTGCATTTCAGGTGACCATACCTAACGGCATTTTTGTACAGATTCGCACTGTATTTCTTTTTTCCAATTTGTTTTTTTGTTATTTTCTTATACATATAATTACGCAGAAATATTTTTACTTCATTATTTTTTAATAATTTTATTATATTTTTTCATATTTCTAAAGCTAATTGCAAGTTTATTTGTATATAAAGTTGTTAACTAATTTAAAATGATATGTTTGTGTATATCCTGCATATTGTATGCAACTATCTACTAGCTTAAATGTAAATGTTTCGTATTTTTGTCCTACAGACATAAAATTTATAAGTTTTTATTCTTAAATTTATTTTTATATATTTTTTTCAGTTTTGCATTTAATGTTTACTTTAGATACTGTTTAAAATAGAAATTTAAATTTGTTGCTTGAAATACTATACATATACATACATATGTAGATAATACGATTATACTGATTGTTTCTTATGCTTTTGAATAAATCTTACATATGCGACGAAATAAAACTCCAAATTAGTTAAAGGATGTATGTCTCAAATTTGCTTTACACATATTTCCATAAAAAAAACGTTCAGAAAATAACGGGTGATTTTTTAAGAGCTTGATAACTTTTTTTTAAAAAAAAACGCATAAAATTTGCAAAATCTCATCGGTTCTTTATTTGAAACGTTAGATTGGTCCATGACATTTACTTTTTGAAGATAATTTCATTTAAATGTTGACCGCGGCTGCGTCTTAGGTGGTCCATTCGGAAAGTCCAATTTTGGGCAACTTTTTCGAGCATTTCGGCCGGAATAGCCCGAATTTCTTCGGAAATGTTGTCTTCCAAAGCTGGAATAGTTGCTGGCTTATTTCTGTAGACTTTAGACTTGACGTAGCCCCACAAAAAATAGTCTNTTTTTAGTCAAGTGATTTTAGGAGGCCTGCATAGCCGACCTAATCATACAAACATACAAAAAGCCAAATAAGAAGCTAAGTGGATATTTTACACTGAAGGAACTGAAAGAAGTAGTGCACAAATTTATATATATTTTTTAACAGATCAAGGCCATTCACAAAACGAATCTTTTGCTATAACTCATGTAGGAATTTTTGAAGAAATGCGCCTTCATAACAGGATAGAGTTAAACCGAGTTGAAATTGTTAGAATATTTCTGTGATATTTATTCATTTATGTATATATGAAAATGGCTTAGCCCTAAAACATCTTGTACCACATCCAGTACCTATTTCATCGCATTCTTATTTCAACGAGAGTTGTTTATAAAACTAAAAAATAAGATATAAATTGAATATCTGTATTTTTTTACAACTGGCGCCTTATCGTCAAAACTGAATGGTTTGCGAGCATCCTGTAAATTCTTCCGATACATTTTTAAACACCTTTTCTCTTTCTCTACTAAAAATGCTGTTGTTGCACTGGAATACACTTTACTAGTGTTGGGCAGTATCGAGACCAAAAGTACTCAGAACTCGATTCACAAAAGGATCGACAGCACCCGATTTTTAAAAGTATCGATACTGAGTAATCCAAAGAACTCAGTACTCACAAAAGAACTCGAGAGTACTCAATACTCAGAAGGGAACTCGGAAGTACTCAGACCTTAAAAGAACTCAAAAGTACTCAGTACTCAAAAGTACTTTCCATTGGACCATTTCTTTAAATTTGTTTGTTTGTTTCTTTTTAAATTACATATAGCAACAATTGGATGTATAGAGAATGTAATACTTAGCTCAATAAGTATGAACTCAAGCTATAAAAGTGTTGTAGGCTTAGTCAAAGTTTGCAATGGGCAATTTTTTTTTGGGAAAAATATTAAATATGTCTACTCGTACATGAATAATATGAATAACTTTAGAGAAAATTCAAGGAAGAAATACTTACCTAGGTACTTATAAAACTATAAAAAAGTTATATTTTAAGCTGAAAATAAATCAGTAAGCGGTTATTACATTTTGAGGCATCCTTTTACATGTTTAATCAAATTATTAGGAAATTGACCATTTTCCGATCCAACTTAATATATGAAATTATGTAAACATTATATCGTGAGATTTAAATAATTTTAGAATTGCCTCACAAATAGCATAAGGACAGTTAAAAGTATGAAGGAAATTCAAAAATCCGAAAATCCACAAAAGTAAATTTAGCAACTTTACATAAAATCGTAATATTTTAACACTCCGCGTAAATATGTAAAATGAATGACCGACAGACGCTATAACAATTGGTCACACATACATATGTATGTATGTACAGCCATTGTACATGTGTATGTGAGACCTACTGTCATCTGCAAATAATTTATGCTTACGAAAAATAAGGAAAAATGTCCAAAAGCCACAGCGCGCGTGTGTGGCCAACAGCTAAAGTGGACAATAAATAATAACTAGTAATGCATTTAATTATTTTACTTTTAAATTTTTTATTTTTTTTCACTCAAAAGCAAAAAAAAAAGATTTTCAACTACAGCTTGCAAATGCTTAAACCAATTTTGGTTTTTACTTAAATTTGTGCGCACATTTTGCTGGCTGAACTTTTAACTTTTTTATTGCTGATTTTGTCAAAAAAAAAAAACAAGTGAAACCGACGCCGAAAACGAAAAACTCGGAATTAAGTTTACTTTTAATTTTTCACTTAATAACAAATTTGCATTTGTATATATATAATACGCCTCTTGTGTACATACTATATGTACTATATGTAAATACTATATGCATACATACTTGCAGCTGATAGCTAGCACTGGTATGCCTTACATACCCGCTGTTGCTCATACGCCACGTATACCAACACGCCGCCTCCATACATCATTCGTTTTAATTTGACTTTTGTTTGTATTTGTATATCATAAGTCACACGCTGCTGCTTTTTTTATTTATGTATATATTTTTCATTTTTTTTTGTATTTTACCATTTGTCGTTGGCGACGCTCTATTGTGGTGCCAGTGCAGCTGCTGCATTGGCAACGCCATTTGTAAGGCTTAAAGCCAATGTGCTGGTCATCAAGCTGGTTGTTGTGCCCGAGGCGGTAGCTGCTTCCTACGGTTTTTTGTTGTTTTTGTTGTTGTTGGTTTTATGCCAGCAGCAAGCAAAGCAAGTCAGAGCAAGAGAGAGCAAGAAAGAAATAAAATCAAAAAAAAATTTAAATAAATAAATGCATAATTGTCAATATTTTGCTTTTAATTTTAATTGTTTGCGAAATTGATCACGCCCAACTTGCGGCTGAGCGCATGTGTCGGATTTTGTTTTTCGCCGCAATTTTTATTTACAATCGCTATTTGTATGTGGTTGAAAAAATCGTATTTCTGCATGAGTGTATGTATATTAGGGTGGTCCTTAATATATCGACATCATGGGGCACCCCTTTATATTGTTCTGCATACAAAATAAAGACATCCACAAAAACTTGAAAATTAAAAAAATGGGGCTATCATGGTTAAAAAAAATTTATTTTTTTTCATTGCAAAATTTCTACAAAATTTTACTTTCACAGTTGTATCTCAGCAAATTTTATAAATTTTTATGAAAAAGTTTGAATATGTAAAATTTATCAGATTTAAAATCAAAATTTGGTCGAATTTTTGCGATTAAAAAATTAAATTTTTGATACCCTGGTAGAGTTTTCTAAAAATCTGTCTAAAATTTTGAAATATTCGTGAACGTCTTTATTTCGTACGTAGCGTAGAACAAATTAAGCGGTTTTACATAAAAATTCAAGATGCTGACATTTTTAATATCCACCCTAATATACATTCGCATATGTATGTATTTGTGAATATATTTGTGCATTTGCGTTTTTTCGCCCGCAATTTGTGCTTTTCGCTGTTAACTTAATTTATGACAAAACCATTTTTTAATGCTCACCATTTAGCGGCGGTCCATTTATTTTTTCTTTTTGTTTTTCTCGCATCTATATTTTTTTTGCACACATACACATACAAATACATACACATATTTACATATGTATGTAGAACGATTATGTGCTTGAATTTGCTATTGCAAATAACATTTTATTTGCTTATGAATTTTTATTGTATTTGTTTATTTTGCACTTACAATACTCAGCGTGCGCACAATGCAGGCGGGCTGTGCGTTTTGCTCCTGCTGCTGTTGCTGTTGCTGCTGGTCCTCCTGATCCTCATGCTCCAATGCTGGTGAACTACCCCGCGAGGAAAGTGAACCATTTAACATTTTTACATCCTCTGTATGATGATGGGCACTATGCGGCAAGATCGAAATGTGGCCATCCATGGGGGAATCAGCCTGAAAAGTTGAAAGCAAGAGAATGGTAAATAGGTGGCATAAAAGCTCAAAATAATTTTCTCTACAGTGGTTTTTGTTGTATTGCATTAAGCAATCTAAATGTGTTTTAATTTTAATGGAAACTCTTTACTCTTCTACTATGCAAATCTTCTCACAAACCCAGGGACCGAACATAACAGTTATTGATGAAACTGTCATGGAAAAATTCACTATAAAGGAAATGTTCTAGAACTAAGTGAAACATACCAATCGATTCCGTTTTGCACCGAGACTCAAATTTGAAAATAAACTTTTATTTGCAATTTGTATGCCAAATTTAAAAAAATAACAATTATATTTGATTTTTATATTATAAATCAAAAATAACAATTATTTTTGATTTTTATATTGTATGGCTTAGATAACAGTTATTGAAGAGTTTTATTTATAAAAGTCATCAATAAAAATCAGTCAGTGACTTTTACTTTTAAAAGTCATTAATATAAATCAGTGACCGAATTTCATTTTTTTAATCAATCGTATAAAAGTCATTAACATTTTTCGCAGTTAAGAAGGTATTGGAAAACAAAAGTTTACTACGACTTATTCAAATGACTTTTATAAGTATGATTGAAAAAATAAAGATCAGTGACTGATTTTTATTTATGACTTTTATAAATAAAAGTCTTCGATAACTGTTATTTAAGACATATAATTTAAAAATAAAATAAAATAATTTTTATTTTCTATTTATAAAATAAAAGTCAGAAATAACGGTTATTTAAAGAGTAAATAAATAAAAGTCAAAAAATAATTGTTAAAGAGTGATTTTTTTAATAAAAGTTGTAACTGTTACGGTCCCTGCACAAACCAAAGTACTGTTTCTTCAACGAAATTATAAAATACTCAGCTGGTGCTACGACAATAATTCGTTGTGTCCACTTCCAGTGACTCTTGTGAGTCTTTTAACCCTGTAGGTGCTTTGACTAACAGCAATCGTTTACCTTTTTGTTTATTATACGTAACAGAGAAAAAATATATATTAAATATTTAGGTAATGTGTTTCAAAAAGTATAAGGACCAAAAACCCAAGAAGGTATTTTCCGTTTTAACTGTAGTTTGTTTGTTATTTAAATTCAAATCTGGTGTTAGTCGTGTCGACTAAAAAGCCCGCAGCCAGGGTCAGCAAAGCGAAGCGCTTCCAGGGTTAAAGAAGGGCACTTCTCTTCACTTCACACTGAATAGCAACGTTGTTCGTGTCCTTTTATCAAGAGATCATGTAAACCTGGAGTTGCCACGATTATTTTGGTCACATATAAAAAATAGCTAATACTAAAAAATGCTTAAATAAATAATTTTTGTTGGAAGTCCCATAAAGAGAAATAAAGTTTTCCGATCGAAAAAAATTTATCTCCAACCAAATTTTTTTTCAACAAAAACATACGAGTATTTACAAAAAACTAAATAGAAGGAAAGAACTTAACGTCTTAAACATTTTACCCGCGTGTATGTATTTTTTACCACACTAATGACATCGACATCATCGGTAATAAGAAGTGTTTTCTGTCTTTTCCGAGTTGGATAAGGAAGCAAAGCGAATGCGTCTGGCGGTCACCGAGGACAAGACGAAGTACAGTCAGCGCATTCGCGCCTTGGCACCCATGTCACTGTTGACAGTTATAATTTCGAGAAAGTAGAGAATTTCCTTTACTGGAGAACCAGCATTAACACCTATAATAATGTCAGCACGGAAATCCAACGCTGACGATGAAACTATGGGCTGTATGAGCTTTACACCGCTTTACAGCTCCGCTGGCTTCGCCAAGTTGTCCGAATGGACTCCGACGCTCCAGCTCTGAAAGTATTCAGGTCGGAACCCGCTGGTGGTAACAGAGGAAGAAGGAGGCCCCCAGTGCGTTGGAAAGACCAAGTGGAGAAGGACTTGTCTTTACTGTGCATTTTCAAATGACGTCAGTTGACCCAGAAAAGGAACGACTGGCGTGCTTTGTTGAACTCGACCAAAATTGCTTAGGCGGTTACAGCGCCAAATAAGAAGAAGAAGAATGTACTTCATATGCATTAAGTCCTTTCTAAGTGCAAAGTATCATTCCAGTGCACCTTGATTCGAGAATTACTCCTAATCATTTGACCTAACGTTTTAAAATTAGAGATTAACTTGGGTCAGTAAACTACAAGAGGTGCCACTTTTTTATTAATTTATTGCGCTGCAAAAGTTGTTTCAGGGTTAGAAGCCATAGCGAAGGTTTAATGGCTCCTTTAACTGCACTTTTGGGCTGTCCTCTGGTTTCGAACTCAACTTCCTGCGGGTGAGCAATTTGCGCCACCGAAGAGTGCTAATATGGTGTTTTGCTTAATGTCCAGTGATCTCCTTAGTAGTCTGATTTGGGCTGCCGAAATTCCCTACGTCCTTCTTAGTATTAATGATGACGTGCCGTTCGGCCTAAGGTAGTCTAACTAAGGTTGCAGACAGAGTGGAAGCGAAGCCGACGTCGAAGTTGAAGAGGAAACCGGCGAAGAATTGCTTGCGCCTCAGGCAAGCTGGATAGTGTACATAGTGGAAGATGAATGCGATGCAATACAATTGAAATGGATTCGTCTTCAGATGAAGAAGTGCTTCTGAAAAGAAAATAAAGAAAAGGCGGCATTTAACGAAATAAATTTGCCTAGGAAAACCTTTGGGGAATTTCCACACTTGTACGATGAGTTAAGGCAAGACAGCCAGACATTTTGCAAATTAATGAGTTGGATTACATTTTGCCAAAACTTGAGCCATTTCTTGAAAAGGCGCGTCATCCCAGCAAGCGATTCGTTTTAGAAAATAGTACCGCTTAGTTTCAAGCTACCCGCTTGTGCATCGTATTCGAGTTCGTCTTCGTTTACTACTGCACTGTTTTTGTCTTCGGCTTCGGCATCGTCATCATCATCATCTTCGGCTTCGCTTGCAACCTTCGCCCTGCAACCTTCGTGAGAGAGTATCTTCTTTCACCCCCTCCACAGCATTAGGATATAGCAGAGAGAGATAGACAGCTAGTTTAAACCGTTCATAGGTATGTAGTGGAAACTCAGTATAAGTGATTTGGTATGTAACAAAATGCATTCGTTAAAATTGTGTAATAAAAACATATTATTTGGAAGTCAAAAAAATTACGCTTTGTCAACAATTCAAGACTGCAGTTTTATTACCAATTTTAGTTTCTGGATGCATCGTTTTCAACGAAAATAAGTTATACCTATCTATATATTTTTATCTGTAGTAACTTCATGACTTTCAACTCAACTTTCATTGATAGAAATCAATAAATTCATTTTCTCCTCCAGCATTTAGATCAATGACTAAGCAAATACCAACAAACAATGCACCAGCCGGAGCTAATATGGCTTAATAATGTTGACAATTGGCGATGGACAAACGACAAAACTCCAACCAAACAACAAACAGTGTACTCACAGATAATGCAAATACAAACACAAATACGAGAATTGGTACTTACAGTGGGTGTGTCTGCATGCATATATGTAAGTAGGCATACATATGTTTGCACTTACAAAAGCAAACGGAAACACAAACACAAATACAACAATGACAAAGACATGTTTGTTGCGTTTGCAAATGAGCCCAAAACGACAAAATCTCCACCCCCCGCTGTCGACAAATGCAACTGCAGTCAAAATGCCAGCAACCCACACACACACATCCATCACAGGACACATGCATCTACCTACCACTTACCTCTTCTTTGGCAATTGCGGAATTCGGACTATTACAAATGCCAAATTTGCCATCCATGCAATGATCAGCATCGGCGGCGACATGTCCGTTGCTGGCGTTGAAACCATTATTACCAGCAGCAGCAGCGGTCGAGCCCATGGTTGTTACTATGTCGATGCTGTTGTTGTTGTTGTTGTTGCTGTTCTCTAATTTGCCAGCTCCCAATGTTGGTGCTTGTTTCGTGGCCAATGTTTCGCTTGTTGGCGACATTTGTATTTCATGGCCACTAGTTATGTTATTGTTGTTGGTGTGATTGTTGCTGCCACTGTTACATGTGGCTATATTCTTGTTATTGCTATTGTTGTTGTTATTATTTAACTCGATCTTAAACTGTGAAGGCGGTGACGGAAATTGTACACTGTTGGCCAAATCAGCGTTGGCCATAGTGTGGGGTTTGTTGTTGTTGTTGTTGCTGCCGCTGCTGCTGCTGTTGTTGTAGTTGGCAAGAGCGCTCGTGGCAGTGGTGAATACTGTGGCATTGTTGTTGTTGTTGTTGTTGTTGTTGTTGCTGCTTGTTGAAACATTGGCGACATCGGCAACAACAGCACAATCGGTATTGTTGTTGTAATTGTTATTAGCCTCATTGCCCAATTCGTAAATGTTGACCATGTGGGCGGCCTGAGCGTGCACCATCAGATCCCAGGGATTGGTAAAGGCGTCCTTGCAAACCGCACATAACAGTTTGGCGCTCATTGGCGGTGTTTCTGAAAGGAAAATGAAATTGTTTGCTTTTGTAAGAGTAGCGTTGATTATACATACATACGTATTTTTAAATAGAAATCACATTTTTAATGAACCTTTATCAGTGTATCCGTTTCAAGTTTTAAGGAAATATTCATGCGAATTAAATTGTGTTGCCTATATGTGACGTTTCATGCCAACAGGCCCCCCCAAAATTGAGGTCTTTCAAAAATGATTGCTCATACTCAACGCTGGTATCTATACTCTTTTGTAGTCTAATACTTTTTTATTCCAAAAATGGGTACTGCTATTTTTTCAAAATACAGTATTTATACGAAAAACCACTTGTTTATGCTACATAAATTTTTTAATGCACAGAAGTAGTATAAATTTAAAGTCGTTGATAAAACACGATATAATCTAACAGCGAAATGTGAATTAAAAAGCTAAAAATAATTGAATAGAACTACAAATTTTGGTTAAGAGGAATAGGAAGCTCCATAAATTGATTTAATTAAACTTTTAAAACCAACCTAAAATAGGATTAAAGGAATTCACAAGAAAGCTCATTTTATCTTAAAACAAAACGTGTGGTGCTTGACATCAATTGTCTTGAATTTTTCATTTTCAGTTTAGTAATATTGAATATCGTCAATAGCAGCACTATAAAATCTAAGAAGCACCCCAGATTAATTAAATCAAGTTAAGGAACTTCCCATTTCTCTTAATATTTCTATAAATTTTTTTTTTACTTTTAGTTCAAATTGTAATAAGACCGAGTTTATAATTTTTTAAACTATAATTTTATTTAAATCTCTTTAGAATTCAATTCAATTGATTTTAAAACTATTATAACGAATAGAATAACACGCGAATTATGGAAATTGTTGCATCTTTTAGGTGCACCATTATTACATAGTTACATGCCTAGCCAATAAAAGCGAGGTAAAAATGCTTGCGAAAAAAGAGGACACGCCATTTTGAACAGTTTTTTAATTTTTCTTTCTTTAAGCAATTTAAGTGAAATATATTTTTTTTTGTCAGTTTCCATATTGAGTCAAATAAAAAAATAATTTTTCACTTAAATTTCTTTCGTGAAACAGGAAACTTTGTGGAAAAATTAAGAAAAAAATTGCACAACAACAAACTTTTTATTCATAATTTTTAGAAAAATTGATATATGCCGTTTTATAGTCCACTAAATTTTAGTAATGAGGTGTAAGTTTCCAGAGGCTAACGATTCGCGTTGATTTTTGATAATTTTTTTGTCGACGGTGTTATTATTTTCTTCCATACTTTTGTACTGCACTGAAAAAAGGGACAAAATTAAATATCTCGATAACGAGAGGAGATACACCCTTTCTGCAATTTTTATAGGGATGTACCAATGTGAGAGGTTCAGTCTGTGAGAGATAAACGACATGGACGCAGGCCAACGCAGCTTAAATTTATTTTGCTATGAGCTTAAAATGTACTTATACTCGCCAGAAAAACACCAAGAGTGCACAATGTCACAGAAATGTTCTTAACCCTGTAAGGACTAGAAATAATTATTGGAACCTGATGTGGAGCCACCGTTGCGTGCTATTGAACTTCCAGTTTCAATCGATCATTCAGCTACCTTTGCTGAGCGCGTAAAATGCGTATTCAAATTCTTACGCAAAAATTCTATACATTCAACATCGACCTTCCACGGAAACGGTATTTTTCGCAGTAATATGTGTACAGTTTTTGGTCCAAAAAAAGGTTAGAGTGGCCGAAGAGTAATTTTTACGAGATAAAGTTTGACAACAATTCAGGTTAAAAAATAAATAAAAATCAAACATGATGAAGTTAATAAAAAAGAATAAAAAATAAAAATGCGATTTTTTAATGCAACATTTTTCTTATTTTAATCTATCTAATTTTCTCGTGGAAATCCGAGGTAATTACGCACATTTTGATACCTTAACTGATTTTCTCCGACAAATAGTTTATTAACTGCAAACAATTAAAAAAAAGATACTTCTCGGTAAGTTCAAAATTTCGGGAATTTTTTTTTCGAGAATTTCGAATATCATTACGAAATAAAATAATAGGTGTCTTCTTTTTTTCGATAAAGAATGTAAAAAAATATATTTCACCCCAAAAAAATATTGAGGTGTAAATATTGGATGGAATGACCCATTTGTAAATATGCATATGCAGAGATATTTAATTTTAAGGAATACAAATTAATTTTACTATTTTAATCAATTCACGATACAAACGTTTACATGCTTAATTACTGCCTTTTTTCCAACCAGACTAAATTGTGAATTTCTGAAAAGCTTCGCTCATAAAATATTATCATGTTTTTATTTTATTTTCTTAAGAGAAATTGTTATAGCCACACTTTCACTCAGCGCAGTGAAGTAATAAAATTTACAATCCAGACTACATGTATCAAAACAACAACAACAACAGAGAAACTTTCGCACTAATTCGGAAATAATCCATTTTGCCAGCAGCCAACTTAAACAAAGAGCCTTGAAAACTCACACTTGCCATTACTTTCACCTTCGGAGAAGAGCAGAGGGCATAACGCTATATGCATATGTATGCAAAGGGTGAATTGCGCTCACCAGAATGCCGAAAAATTCTTTTACAAATTGAGTATGATTTCAAATGAGTATGCTGCCCTGCAGGAAATTACTGTGATTACAGTACTCCTGCCAACACTTGCAAAGGCAGAAAAAAAAACTAATCTCAAAACCATTTTTTTTTACTTATTTACTCATTAAGAGGATATGTAATTTAGGACTTTCGCTTAGCTGTTGAGCTTCCTAGCGCCATAAATTTTTTTTGCAAGCTGTGTAAACTAACAAACTTAAATCGAAGTCAAACTAGACCGCTTAGAGCGCTTTTCAGTTAATAATTTCCTGCTGGTACTTAATGCATACCCATGCATGCACTATTTTAATAAACAAGGTACATGAGGGATGTCTTTTTAGACTTTCAGTTGAGAACTAAGCAAGTAATGAATATAAAACCTGTAAAATAAGAAGATTTCATATGAATTTGAACAGCGCAGGAAAATTTACTAGACTTTCGAGGTTTCAAGTATTTTAAAGTTGAAAAATTTCTTCTAAAAATCACGATTTGATTTTTTCGCCCGCTCAGTCTTATTTTATGGCTATGAAATACTACCAATCCCTATTCGGATCTGGATCGCATGTGGAACGGATAAATTTCCGACAAACTTTCATATATCTACATACATATTTATTAAATACCCCTAACAAGCTGACACAAAATAAAAAACTTTAGCTAGAATCAAAACAAAAATCCTTAGCTCTATAAAAATAAGGACAACCTTAATTCCCTATATAAAGCAGACAGGGAGAAAGAAGGAGTCAAATAATGGCTGCTAGCCAAACATGTGCAAACAAGTGTTGGCCGACACGTTTGCAAAAGTGTTAAACAATAATAAATTAATTACAAACAACAGCAGCAGCAGCAGCAGCAAACAAACACTAACAACAACAACAATACTCTATGCAAATAATAAACAACACCCATACAAATTGCTGCAAGATGCAAAGCAAGTGTTGCAATAACAATTTTGCATTTGAGTACTCCTTCTACAAGGACGCTGTACGCATAAACATACTTACATACATACATAAATACTCATGTGTCTAGCGTTAGCGCGTCCTGCTGAAGTGAACACTTGACGTTGTGGTGGTGTGGGTGCAATAACAATAAAATACTACTACTTCTGCCAGCACACTTGGCGCTTGGATAGATATGTACTTACTTGCAGCGAATGCAACATCCTGGCACTTGCAAGTGAAACGCAACTTGCAATAACTCCGTTTGTGGTCTAATAACTCAGCCAGTTCGTTGAAACATTCCCGACAATTGCCGCAAATTAATGTGTCCGGATTGCCTGCAAAAAATCGAGGAGAGTTACATACGTATGTAAGTATGGATTCTTTAAAATTGATTTATGTTTAAATTATGTATTCGTAATGAAAATATCCTAAAATTTCGAATTAGTAGTATAACAATCTCATCTGTGTTGCATATTTTTGTAGAACATTTTAACCATCTTACTGTCCTTTTTAATGCACTTTTTTTAAAAAGAGTAAAAAATATCCACAAAAGGCGGAGTGCAAGAGCTAAAATTTTTACTACAAAATTACTCGTTAATTTTTCTACCTACCAGTGAAGGCAAGAATTTGATTTATAATTTTTAATACAATCGTCCTACCCCAAATTTGGAAAGACCAAGTGGGTTCAAAAAATGATCCTTCGATTTATTTATTACTTTAAAAGTGCCTTTTATAAAAACAAACATTCCTATTTTACGTTCTAAAGAACATAGAACAACCACACTAATTTAAAAAAAGTTCCAATAAAGGCCCTTCCGCTGAGGAAATCAAAGAACAATTTGACGGCTGAGTGGAAGATCACCCTATCCCGGTTGCCGGTATTTGCGAAAAGTATAGCCTGGTGATCTATGTCGTCAGCGATAGTGCACTTCAATCTAAAGATTAAATAAATTGTAATCATATTGGAATATATTCCAATTATTTTGGGGAGAACTATTGGATAGTTGCCTGATTTGAAAGAAACCAAAAATTATTACAAATAAAGTCCGATATTATTCGACGACGGCCATAAGCGATCCTAGAGCTTTTATTGCGCATGGTTGTGAGTGTGTAGGTATCAAATCTTCTAGTCGGTATTTGCACTATATGTAGCCCGACAACTGTCTATTTTATTGCGTTAACCCCTCCTTCAAATCTACTATCCAAACTTGACTCTCCCGAGAATGCATTTAGAGGGATTATTGGCCGTATGCAAACGAAATTGGCGTTTCTTAGCCTAATGGCGCAGCGGACAGTGCCAGTCTTACAATCGCGAGCGTAGAACGGTGCTGAGCGTCCCAATAGTTCCAAAAAGGACAGTATTTTACAGCAGTACAGGAACTTTTTCATTCTCTTTTTAACACTTGTTTCTTGTTTAGGGGCATGCTCTACCAGAGAGCATAAGAGGAACGTTAACAACAGCGGCAAGTTGGGCATAGGCACTTAAAATATCCCGGTGAACAATACGAGCTCCGTCTTTCCAGGATTAGCAGCGAGTTCGGAACTGGAAGACCAATTTTCGGCATTTAAATTTACCCAAATAAGCTTTCCTCTGACCTGAAATTCTCTCATTAAGAATTCTTCTACAACTTCGTTGATAACAGTAATCCTGCGGAAACGTGAGAGGATATCCCTACCCAGCATATGATAAGAGGCACTGCCCAACTTTGTCATGAAATTTCTGTCTCGCAGCTTTCGGGAGATAAGCCCAAATTAATTATGCTTGATTCTAACTAAGACCGGCTATAACTGAGATCAAAAAAAAAGTATTCAAATATTCACGAAATTCCAGCCACAGATACCTTTTTTGTTGTAAGACTTTTCGCAATAACCTGTAAAAAATCCTTTCGGTATGGTCTATATTTAAAAAAAAAAATCCGTTCACTTGTTCCTTGATTCCAACAGTCCAGAGTTTCCAAATTGCGATTTTCCTTTGTCCCAGCTCTGCGAAGCATTCTAATTGATTGGTAGCTTGTGGAAAATGTCTCACAATCAATTATTCGTGAACAAATCTCTTCGGTTATCGCAATGCTTCCTGGCTCTTGCTTTCAGTTCAAAATTATCCATATTTCTTATTAGATTGTGTGCGGGCTGGGCATAAAAGCTACTTAGGTACATGTAAGACCGAATGGCTTCTAGTGCTATCCTGTTCATTAATTCTTATTTTTAACACCCAAATCAACTCTAGTAAGTAGATAAATATGTGCACCTTGCCTTCCAATAGCCTTCCACATAACCAATGAAAATTTTAGGCATGATCATGAAAAATGTTAAAATTAATTAATTAAATGAAAAAAAAACTTAATACAATTTTTACTAAAAATGTCTGCCTTATATTTTAGACTAATTTAAATAGCGAATTACAAGATATGGAAAACTAAACCCACACTAGCTGAAGGCAACAATCAAAACATATTTTGTCCTTCAATGTCCACATTTCCCTCCCAGCAGAAGGATAAGTCTGGCACGTCCATATCTTGCCAATCTAGCACACGACTATTGGATTCTTCGCGAATATGACGCGGCTTTAGCATTATTGATTGCCTGCGAGGCTTGACTACCTCAACAAATTGCGCATTTCCTACATCCTTAGCTGCTTTGTTCGATTTGTTTTCACGAGTAGTTTTACTTTGCCTTATTGTATGCGCTTTGTCGAGCTCTGAGTTTATATTTCCTTCAGATTTTCGGAGATTTATATTCCCATACAGTCTGCTATTTTGTCGTCTGTATTTACTTGTGCTTCCTTTATTAAGCTGTTTGATAGATGTCCTACGATGAAGTATGTCTTTTAACTTTGCTTTTTGATGGCATTTATCACAGTTGGGTTCCGACTTAAGCCATTTGCCGAAGATTCTTTGCAACGGCGATACACTTTTTGGCGTTGCGCTTGGAAACTCATTCGGTAATTCGTTTGGTGGTTTATTTGTATTTCCACACTTTGAGGTTCTTCCCAGCAAGCGTCCCATAAAACTTAACTTTTGCTGTATTGGATCATTTGCCTGTTGTTTACGAAAGTTTTCCAAAGAAATTTCCGCTTTACTCTTCTGCTTAAATTGTGGTGTTTCCAAGCTACAACCGCTGGTTCCACCAAAATTATTATCAAGCAAGGTGTCTGTGCTGAAATTCGAATCCATGTCGGAATCGTCATCAGCTTGTTTTTCGTTAGAATAATTTGACTCTTTACCTATTTGTGGTATTGGCATTATAAATTGTGTTGGAGCGTTCACTTCCAATCCATCCTCACAAGGCTTTTTACATAGGTTCGCCGACTGTGGAGGTCTCTTCAACTGCGTCTGACTAAAATGTTGTAGGTTGTGATTCTTACCCGCACACTTGTCCGCCATGAGCTGTGGTGATGGCGCTTTAGTTGGACAATATGGCACCTTGACTTTCATTACATCCTCAAAGATGCCAGACTGATCGTCCTCATTGGCCTGCTCGTAATCGAGACCATCTATATTTTTACTATGCCTAACAAATTTCGGGTCATTCTCTTCATCAGGATAGTCTGCATTTTCATTGTTTTTATGGTTTCCATTTGCGGCGGACGAGTGCTTGAGGCTACGCAAATAATAACGTTGAGAGCGCGGTTGGCCCGCATAATGCACCAACGTCAACATTTTGGATGTATCTACTGGCTTGCTTTCACGTTCCTTCAGCTCACGCACCACTCTTCTGAGAGTTGCGCGCATGGAAGGTCTTCGCACTACCAACAAATTGTTTCCAGATTGGCGACGCTGCTTATGGAACCGGCGTTTTTTCGGCGCATCTCTTACAGATTTAGGCCTCGGGGTCGTAGTAGACGGCTTGGCGGGCTCAGTTATAGGAAAGCACATTGTGGCATAAGCAGTCACGGATTGCGTTGTAACTTCTGTGGTGGCATTAGCAGGCCGCAGAGTCGCGGAGGCTTCATTGGCGCTTGCCGCAGCTGTCGTTGGCACACTTGTGTTATATACTTGCGTCACTTGCTGTCCGGGAGTCACTGGATAACCTGGAGTCACTGGATAACCTGGAGTCACTTGATACCCTTGAGTCACTGGATATCCTTGTGTCGCTTGATGTTCTTGTGTCCCCGGATAACCCAGAGTTGTCGCCTCCTGCGAGCTCTTAATCGGTTGCTGAGTCCTCGTTGCAGAGGTTGTTTGATATGCCTGTTGCATTGTGGCTCCTTGGGTACCATTGGAAGATGGCACCGTCGGATATGCCTGCGTAGTCATTTCTTTTGGCCCATTCGCTTCTGTTACTGGGAAACACATGGTTTGGTAAGCTACTGGTACACTAGGTGTTGTAATCGCTGCTCTAGTCGTCGTCACATTGGCTTCAGTCTGAGGCGGTCTCTCCGTTGACGAAGCTGACGTTTGTGTTGTAGAACTCACTTTCGCGTCAGCTGTGGTTGGTTCGATTATCACAATTCTAAAAGGTGGTCGATATGTGACTTCCTCCTCTTCTACTTCTTCTTCGTCGGGCGCACAAGTAGTTGCGTGTACCTTTTCTTGCTCGGCGCTTTCCTTTTCTTTTGGAGGATTAGCTGTGGTTGGAATAAATCTGAAAGGTGGCTCATATTGGGAATCATCTACTTCTTCTTCATCAGGGCCACATGTAGTGCCCGATTCTTTCTCTGTTTCTTCTGTGCATTCTTCTTCCGTTTCTTCTTCTTCTTCGTCTTGTTTCGTTTCAGTGGTAGTCTCCACGCCTTTCTCTTCCTGTGGCTCACTTGGTTTGTGCTCATCTGTTCTTCCTGTCGCCGATTTCTCTCTATGTTCCTCAGTTCGCTCTGTACTATATTTGTCGTGGTGTTCTTTCGTTGCACTTTCGTTTGTCTCTTCTTGTTCACTGCTGGGCGTTGTGGTTTTATGCTGCTTGCATTCTGGCTTCTCCATATTTGCTTCGTGTTCGGCGTGTGGTCTTCCCTTGGTGCCTTGATCACCAGCATGTGTGCTCGTTTCGACTTCAGTTTCCTTATGTGCATGAGTGATTTCTTCAGCATCAATTCCATGTTTTCTCGTAATGGTTTCCTCCTCGCTATTTTCATTTTCGTGCTGGGTTTTTGTTTTGTTACACTTTTGTGTAACCTCCTCTACTTCCATTTCGTGTTTGCTCGTAACCATTTCATCCTCATCCTTTTGTTGAGATTCCGTTTTGTTTGATCGTTGCGTAGCTTCTTCAACATCTGAATCGTGTTCCCTGGTAATTGTTTCTTCTTCCCGGTTTTCGCTTGTGGGTGTGGTATGCAAACTCGGACGATGATATTGCATGCGGCTTGTGGCACCGGTTACAGGTTCTGCTTCGGGTTCGGGTGTTGTAGTGCAGGCCTTTGCGAACATATCCATTGATGGCATTGTAAAGTCTTCAGCGTGTAATGTGCGTGGCGTAGCTATGGGGTGACTGCCGAGATCATTGAATGCTTCCTTCTGTTCTCCTGGCTGTCGATGTCGATCATCGTCGTCTGAGTCTCCTTGCTTTTGCTTCACAGTTTTCATTGCATTGGCCAACATTCTGCTTTTCAGTTTCAGCAGTCCCTCAATATACTCACTGCGCATACTTGCACCGTGCGCAACGTTTCGCCGCATATAATGTGCTTTTAATAAAAATATATTTGCTATCAAAATTATAAAAAGAAAGTAATTCTTTTTTGAAAAATACATTTCAAGAATTTGAAAACATATTGGTTTATGTAAAAATAAAAAGTCAAAAAATGGCTGTCATATGTTGCTTTCAGACTTTTTCTGAATAGAGAAGAATATGCGAAAGTGATGATGTGCTTGGTTTCGAAATTCTTTAAGAAATCGAAATGCTTTAAGTAACACTATAAAATTGAAAATTTAGGAAGAAATATTTCCTTTCTGATTTTGTTATGGGCATACGTATGTATGTATTATCAGAAAGAATAAAAAAAAAACAAAAGCTACAGATACATTAAAAACTATGATGGTCCAATAAACAAATTAATATTAATTTAAAATGGAGCTCTACATTTCAAAAAATCCCAAAACTGTTCTTCGATACAAAATGATATTTTGCGAAACTTTATTTGTTGGATAGCGAATTTTTTTATGAAATTTCTATTTTTGCGTTTTCCTTACATCTGAGAGGGCGGGTCTTTAAACGCTGTAATATGGAGGTTTTTCCGGTGTCCACACTCGAGTGAGTTGTGTGAAAATTGCGATTTTCCATAATACTGAGATTATTTCACGACAATTTATTTTGTTCTCAGAGGGATGTTTGTGAAAGATTGCGTTATTGATGCCTTGAAACTTACGATTCCAGCATATAAGAATATACATTAGGGTGTTTAAAAAAATGCATGTGAAAAATTAAAGTCCGAATTTTAATGCTCTCACTAAAAGGATTATTTTGTATCGAAAAAAATAGCCCTGTCTCCACTTCGAAATCATAAAATATTCAGAGGTCGCTCAAAACTGTCCAAGCTTTTTATATGGGAAAAAATATTGTTTGTCGAAATGGTACAGTATTCTTAAAAATCAATATTTTTCGATCGGAAAACGATGTTTCTCTTCAGGGGGCTTCCAGTAAAAATACTAAGTTTTTTATTTTACCCATTTTTAATACTAGCGATTTCTTTGCGTTTTTAGGGAACCTATAAAAATAGTTAATTTAAAAAAAAATGGCTAAATAAACTCTTGCGTATGATAAACAACGTTATTCGATCGAAAAATATTGATTGTCAATAATTCTGAACCATTTCTACGAAAAAAATTTTTTTATCCCATATAAAATACATGGAAAACTTTGAGCGATTTAAGCGACCTATAAATATATTTTGATATCCACATTAAAAAAGAGGTATACTGGTATTCAAGAATTCAGTCTCATCTCAATTCACTTAATTTGAGACTAGCAATTAGTGACTACTTTTGTGAATTGAGATTATTTGGGTATTCAATGGGAGAAAGTCACAAAAATTTCACAAAAAATGTGTGGTGAAAACAAACACAGACAGTCAACTGATAGCATTTATGAATGCCTTTTGCTCGCGCATCTCCAAGATTGGCAATGACCGAGTGGTCAAAGCATTATACCCCCGCTCAAGAGATCTGGCTTCAAGTCCTCCTAGGACGCCGAGAATTTTTTATTTATTTTTTCTTTTTTTTTTTGTTATTTTTATGCTTTTTTTACATAATCTTTAGATTTTAATGGTTAAAAAAAAAGTTTTTATCAATGAATTTTTATGATAATAAAGCATTTTGGTTTATTTCCTAATGAAATTGTTGTTGCGCAAATATTTCTTCGCTTCATTTTCAAGTTTTATTTTTTAAATAAAACAGAAAGCAATTATCTTTTCCCTCCATATTTTTTTATTTGGCTCAGAGCCAACTGAAAAATTACTGACTTTTCTTCAGACTAGACACGTGAGATAGCTTACTGAATACCAAATAGTCTCAAAATCCACATTCACCACCTAAAGTCACTATTAGTGACTAGAGACTGCTTACTGAATCCCAGGACCGTGACATATGTGAGCACAGTCAGCAGTGTAACACATCATGCACGAATCACTCATCAATTACTTCGTTCCCCAAACCAACTTGGGACAGCGCATATAAAGCATCGAACTTGCGAGCGCAGTAAAGTCAGTCTTGCTAAGTAAGTAGTTGGCTTAACTGATCTGCTGGCATGGGAGAAATGCCTAAGCTAACAGCCACTTAAACCAGAGAAATGAGTTGGAACCAGTCTTCGGACATGTAGCACACCCTTTCCTGGTTAAACCAAGCAGAAGGCCAGCCTGAGAACATGCCCTCCAGGTATGAAACCGGAGAACGGATTGAAGGCGGTCTTTGAGCATGTAATCTGCTTCTATTAGGAGCCCCACGCTTCTGAAGCCTCCCCGGATACCTGAATACAGAATACATATTTCAAAACCTTTTTCATAAAAAATCAAAGGCGAAGTTGAAAGTGCTAGCATCCGTCTTCTCTTATCCAGGCGAACTCTAACCGAGAGTGAAGCACTAAACCCACCATAATTCTATCTGTATATCTGACTTTCTGTGCTTAAAAGTATGCGTGCATGTATGAACACTGTATATCTCTCCTATGCGAGTATTGCCTCACAGTTTAACAGTTTATCTCCGTTACTGGCCAATTGTCAATAGTCGTATGGATCAATACTACTTACTGTAAACTTTGAACGGTCCCCATTGTTGATTCGTAGTTAATTGCTCTTGTTGCTGCTGCAGCTGCTGTTGTTGTTGCTGATGGTTTTGCTGCTGCTGCTGGTGTGTTTGCTTTTGCAGCAGCACTGATGACTTATGCTGTTGTTGTTGCTGCTGCTGTGGTGACTGATGCATACTGTTCAGTGACAACGTTAACGGCTGCAAGCCGCCGCCACCACCACCACCACCAACATACTGTGATTGTTGTTGTTGATGCTGCTGACTGTGACCATTTACCAAGCTGCCATAGCTCGTGGCTGTTGTTGACATTTGCTCGTTGCCCACACCGCCAGCACCAGCCGTGGCGCCACCACCATTCAACAGTGATGTTTGATTAGCGGCAGCAATTATTGCCGACGTAGCATTTTGCACGGACGACGATTTCAATTGTAAACCACCTGCCGCCGCTGCTGCGGCCGACAATGTGTACTGGCTGACCGCTGCCGCCGCCTGTTGCTGTTGCTGCTTAAGTTGCTGTTGTTGTTGCAAGAACACGTTGAGATTGTGCTGAGCCGCATTGGCAGAGGCGCCACCACCACCACCACCTCCTCCTGTAACGCCATTGCATGTGGCCGCTGCTGCAGCGGCTGCGGCGGCGGCTGCTGCCGCACTATTAGCATTGCCCAACAAGCTATGCTGGTGCTGATGTAGCAACAATTGTTGCTGTGGCAACAAATTGGCTGTCATAGCGGCCATGGCTACAGCGGCCACTTGTTGTTGATGCTGTTGTTGTTGTTGATGTTGATGTTGATGTTGGTGCTGGTGTTGCTGTTGCACTTGCTGCTGATGGTGGTGCGGATGGGGCAACAAGTGGGAGGTTTGCTGCTGCTGCTGTTGTTGTTGCTGTTGATGCAACTGCTGCTGTTGTTGGGCCAGTGCAGCCGCAGCGACAGCAGCATTTATGTTGCTGCTATTCACTGCATCGCTGAGCATTCGCGATGTGGTTGTCATTAGGCGTTTACGCTTTTTCGGACGGACGCCAGATGAACGGAGCAGCGCCGACGAGCAGTAGCTGTCATAGAAGTAGTCCCTGTGGAGAAGAAAGCAAAGAGAGGAAATGAGAGAGTTAAAAATGCGCCATAAGCATGAAAACGTTAAAAAGTGCTTTAAATGGATTGTCAACATTGGTTAATGGTGCGGGAGGGACCAAAAAAGGGAAATGAGTAAACAACCAAATGGCATAAATAAAGAAAAAAACGGACGTCGGCAATTTTACTCGTAATTTTCCTCCAAAGACCAACATTAAAAAAGCTAGGCAGGCATTGTTTTATTTTCGATATAGTTATCGATATCGTTCAATTTATCGACTTTACAATCGATGTTGTTATTTATATTGTTACATTTAGGTATCGGTATGGACCTCACTGACGAAGGGTTTATCGTTATTTATCGAATCTTTGATCGATATATGTATGTATGTGTTTAGCTCTCTATAGCTCGCCCGCGCTTCTCTTCCAATCAGGGACCGTAACAGTTATAATTGGATTTCCATTTTTCCGATCAAATTTAACCGTTATTTTATGAAATTTATTTTTTCGATCATGTGTAGCGGTTATTTTTGCATTTTTACTTTTCCATAAATTTTTTATCGTTAGCTTTGACTTTTATTTTTTCGATCATATTATCTGTAACCGTTATTTTCACTTATTTTTATTTTTTTCTTTTTTTTTTTACAAAATAAATAAAAATCCGAATTCAACAATTATTCTTGATCGAAAAAATAAAAATAAATTAATAACGAAAAATAAAGTTCTGGATATTTAACGGTTATTTTCGGTTACGTTTTATTTCGAACAAGCCGACGACCTACCTAGTAAAGTCAATTCGGGTACGCTGAATTCAGTGGTAATAGTCATTTTTCTAGGTTAGGTCATTTCATCGAATAATATCAAATTCAAATTTTTAGGCGGTATCCGTTTTTGAGCGAAATTTTACGATTTTGGGTTGATTACACTGAAAATTCTTATTGGAGAGTTTTTAACGCTGGGATTTCGATTTTGACGCTATTTTTGCAATCCGACGTTTAGTACAGATTTCATACAAATCACAAGCGGTTTCGTGGTAAAAATATCGATTCATATATATGTATGTACTTATATATGTACATATGTATCGTGAATGAAAGTCGAATCACAGCTGCAAAAAGAAAACGCTAACAAAATACTGTTTTTCCGCACAGGTATTTAATGTCAATATTTGATATGCTTGCATTGAATACTTCAGCGGCGGCAACTATCAGCCCAATCAAAAAAAAATCGCCCAGCTCCACTTTAGCACTTAAGCAAACTTATCAACCCGTTCACCCACTCTGTACATACAAACATATTACGCTGATTGATACACGAGTAAGTCAACATACCCTCAACCCATTCAACTCCACCAAAAACAAACAGCGCCCTTAAACTCTAGGTCAACATGTTGCACGTTTTGCGAAGTGATTTCTCCACTCATACATACACAGCCACCCCACAAAATTTCTCAACCCATTTACTGCCGCCACTCAACCTCACTCAATTTGCGGTTGCATATATATAGGCCATTTTGTGTTTTGACCTTTCTGGCTGATTTTGAGGTTTTGTGGCGGTTAGGTAACTGTATTTTCGGTTAGCTATTGTGTGACAGTGGATATCGAATTCAATCTGTGCGGCATTTGTGGCCAGTGGTGCAGCAAGAATTGATGATTTAAATGTGTAAAATGTGTTTGTATTTTGACTTGGTCAATTTGTGGTTAAAAGCTGTAGTTTACATGCATTCAACGATCGTTTAAAGTGAAATGCATAGTAATAGCTTATTCTTACACAGTGAATATTAAATAAACAAAAGGAAAAGGTTGAAATTCCGACTTACATGCTTTTTGTTAGATAGTGAGCTTTACTTTCATTTAAATGATAAACAATTAATAAACAAAAGAAAAATAGCCAAAACTTGTTAAAATGTCGCGTCAGTATTCAATTTGCCGTCCCTTCCATTGTCAATATATTTGGCACTTGAAAAGAAATAGTTTGACCAAAAAGTAAGCATTGGATAGAACAACGTGTAATCTAACACAATGGCAGTAAAGCGACCGAAACTAATAAAAATCGATTAGCGAATTCTGTAAAAGCAATTATGCAGATTCATAGCAAAATGTCCAAATAACCCAAACCAAAAAGAATGTTTGATAAAAATGCATATTTGCAGTCATGCGACGAGTGTTAAGTAGGTGCAATGCAAAAAATGAATTAAAAAAAAAAATTTGACTTTCTAGAAAGCAATTTAAACTAATTTTTCTACTTGTGCGGATATATATATAATAAGCCAATCTGATTGGTGACCAGTTTTTTAATATATCTGTGGTCAAGCATTGATTTAAGCTTTTTATATATCTAACGAAACTTATAAGAGAGTTCTATGTACATAATTTTGTGAGTATGAAATTTTTCGAGTGCTTAATTTAAAGAGGGATATTTAAAAAGGACCTAGGAAGCGAGGTAAATTTCACTTAGGGCAATTTAACATTATTACCATTAACAGATTTATGCTTTTATGGCTAAAAACCATCATATTATATAAATTTTCACGGCAGTGAAAATATCGGAGCTTCACAGCTTCATTTATAGTTTTAAGTTAACTACGCGCAAAAAATTTGGAAAATAACTACATATATGTAGTAAGAAGGGCAATGATTTGTTTAAATTTTCAAAAATATAAAAAAAAAAAATTTTTTTATTTGGGTCATTTTGACGTTGGGTGGTTTTAAATTTCGTGCAGCAGTATGACTATGAATTTCTACCCCATACAATTCGAATTCAAATTGTCTATGGTTGAAATTCTCTCGGAAGTGAATTGCAGAACCTAGCAGCATATTTACTTATAGTAAATGTGAGTAAAAATGTCTAACAAATAGTTTTTATTAAAGCAAACTTATTAAAAAAACACAAACAATTTGGCACGCACGAACTTTATACCTATATTTTATTGCACAAAGGAAGTGTGTAGTCCAGACTTCGGCAGTAAATGCTAACTAACCCAACAGGAAATCGAGAGGAATTCCGTTGGAATATTTCGTTTTCACAATTGGCGAAATAACTTGTTTACGTTATCTTATTGTTGGTATTAACATCTTCTTGGTTATTTAGTTGGCTGTTTAAACGTAAATATTCTTCGGTGTAATTATTGTTGTAAACGGAATAACGCATAACCCTATAGCCAGGCGCGTATGAATATTCACATTGTTTTATGGACATATGCACATACATAGGTGTTAGAGTATCCTATTAAATAGTTAAAAAAATAATAATTGTCCTATGAATACACTTTGCTGATTATCGTTCCGCTTACTTGCAAACAGTCAGTTACCTACATTTCAATCATTATATACTTCGGTAAAGACTGCATTTAATCGGCATTTACGTCAGTTGTGACTAAGTGGCTCGCCTCAGCTTCTAACAATAGGAGGACCTATATACTCCAGCCATACTCCCCATACTAAAGCTGGTTTCGTCAGTCGCATTCAAAAAGTCACGTTCTTAATAAGTAGATAGATAGATATTAACACTAGGTATCGACGACCTAGTGCACTCTGCTCTTCACAATACAGGAATTAAACCTAATGCCCTCGAAAATAGCACTAGTGCCACATCGAGCCTAGACTACTCTCGCATCTGGACGAGTTGCAGAACCGACATAGATCATTTGACCTTATTCCCTATTTCCAGTTTATACAGAATTCCTCTTAGTCTGCAGTGTCCTGTAAGGATACATACGTATTAGTATTCTAAGTTTCTTCCTTGGGAGGTTAAAAAGTTTTGGAGTCTTTTATTGTTGTGCCTTTCCAGTAGACTCTTTGCTTGTCGCAGTCCTACTGAGCCACACCAGTTTAAATCCCTTAGTGCGTTCAACTCCTTATAGAGCTCTTCCTTAAAATTATTGGAACCTACTCCCAGGAACGGCTTGAGCCAATTGAAGTGATGACTGCCGCTTCTCTTGCGAGAAAGTCGGCCATCTTATTATGCTATATTCACCTGAGGCCGGTTACCCATACTAACTGGATGTTGCTTTGCCTGCCAAGGGAGTTAAGTTTCGCAATGTACTCAAGGATTAATTATAATCTAATTTTACATCAAAAGAGAGCCTTAAACACTGCCTGGCTATTACTTATGTATTATAAGCTCAGCACACAAATATGAAAAGAGATCCCAGTAGCGGGGCCCTAGATTCTTTCGACCCTTTTCTTACTGGAGCTTTCGAGGCATGCCAGCTTGTAGAAATCTCTCGAAGGTAGAGACGCTCTGGGTTACTTTGCTGCATAACCCTAAAACACGGACTTAATAACTCGCCACCGTACTTTTAAATAATTTACAACCAACAATAACTTGATTTCAATTGTAATATATCTGCCAAAAATTGGGTTAGTATTTAACAAGTTTTCCTACTGGGTATTGTTGACTCTCTATTTTTGTTCACATATTAAAGCGCATCTGTCAAAAACACGAAAAGCACAACGATGGCGGCACTTCGCGACAGCAACGGCGACTAAAGTACACGCTATGTAGTACATACTACCAACCAGTCATCATTATCCTGGTCATCAACGGCAAATGTCAACGCCATACAAACTGACGACAAGTGAGCGCAATGCAACGCAACGCCCAACAGTATTATTTTTGCACTTACCCATCAAACACTGTTGTTGCTGTCACTGATACCATACACGCGTGTGTATGTATGTATGTGTATTTAAGTTTAAATACCAACACATGCATGGGAGTGACGTGTTTCCAGTGTTGACGGAACACTTCAGCAGACATATCAAAGCGTAGCGGCAAAAGCCAAACAACAACAACGGTGCGCTGCTGTAATGCCGGTAGACTGGTTGAAAAAATACTATATGAACTTGCATACACTTATATATATATATGTATGCGCTGACCCCTCGTACTGCTCACAACGAAAAAAAAAGCTGGCAACAAACTGCGACAAATTTCGAACACTCACAGCGCCAGCCGCCAACTGCCTGCCACAGTGCCAAGCGCCCACAAGCTGCATTAAAACAAAGAATCACCCGCCGATGCCGTGCGCTCCGCTCCGGCAAACGAAAAGGACATTCAAGTGATGAATTGTTTGTTGTTATTTACAGAAAGTAACCGCATCCAGCCAAGTGACGAGGAGGAGAAAGTATACAAAAACCCCAAATGCACGAAGCTGAATAAATACAATAAATTGTGGAATGCCTTTTCGTTTTTCTGTACTCTCTGGCTGGAATTTAATTTTTGTAGTAAATTTTGCATAAACGAACAAATAAAAGTGTGCCTGGGTAATGTAAACGGTTTAATGATATGTAAATATTTTCAGTAGTAAGAAAGTTGCTGAACGCAGTAGTGGATCAACAAAAAAAAAAAAAACGTGTTTCCCACTTAAGGCTTAATGATATAATCCAAGCACACAAAAGTGGACGTGGCAAATTGTTAAATCACTTGAACAGCGAGGTAATTTGTCAAATTCAGTAAAAATGAGAAAGTCTGGGATATACAGGGATCTGACTAATAAAATAGATACGATATGGAAAATTTAATTAAAATGCATATTGAAGCATGAATTTGGGCATTAAACGTTGCCCAAAAAATCTACACAGCAACACTAATCTAACTAAGCATCTAAGAATCTAAGAATATGAGCGTACATAAAATATGAAGAATAAATAAACACGATCTCACTATTCCAATTTTTACATATGACATTTTTATGTGTACATTAAGGTGGTCCAAACAAAGTGAAGCCGAAATTTTAGTGCTTTGTTTATTACTATTTTATGTTATATTTAGTTACCATTTTTTTATACTAACTATTTTTTATAAGTCCCCAAAAACCCCAAATAATTCAATGTGGTGGGAGGCGACTATTTAAAAACCGTTAGTAAAAAAAATACCGGAAGTCTGCTGAAAAGAAAAAAAAGTTTTCCGATCGAAAATACTGGTTTTCAAGAATTCTATAGCATTTTTTTGAAATTTGTTTTTTTTTCTCATATCAAATACATGGAAAACTTTGAGCGCTTTGTGCGAACTTGATTAAAAAAAAAAAAAACAGGTATATTTTTTCGGTATAGAACAATCCTGGTAGATGAGCGCATTAAAATTCCGACTTTATTTTATTTTTTTTCTTACCATCCTAATATACACATGCACGTATGCACTTTCTTATACTGTTTATTTATAGTAAATTAAATCACCTACACACGTACGCACAAATGCTTTCAATTTAACTAGTGTTGCCAGGGTGAAAAGGGACACATGTTTACAATTTGTGCGTCATTAATAAATTTTGCTGCCAATACTTGAGCACCGTAATCAATCATTTCTCAAGAAAAGCTATTAAATTGGCAGAAGGTGCACACACCTTTTTCAACTTATTGCTGCGTTGTAGTTAGTAGTTATTACTCATTCGATTGAATGTTAAACATGACAAGTACAGACGGGTTTACGTACATTCCATTTGGCCAAAAAATGAAAATATAACTATGAAAATTGTAAGAAAGAAGTCATAAAAAATTCATTTCTTAAATTGAGGGGTTAAATATAATAAAACTGCGTTTTCAGTTTTTCACTCTGACGTCAGGATTTTTTTTTTCGAAGGACTTTGAAATTTTTTTTAGAAAAAAAATATTGCAAATTTTCAAGAATATTTAAGGACAAAATTGGTAAAGGACATTTTTTATACCCATTCGTCCTTATGCACAAAAAAATTTATTATTTTATAATTCTACAGATTTTTTTCTTTTACATATATGATACCCTTATTGTTATCCTGCATCACACTGAATTTTTTAAATAATTTTTTGAAATAATCATATTTTTCAAATTTCAAAGTCCTTTAAAAAAATGCTAACGTCAGAGAGACAAATTAAGTACGGAGTTTTACTATAATTTATCCACAGTTCCGCGAATATATTGATTTTTTTGTGTGTAAAATTATTTTTTTGCACGGTATAATAAACCACACACAAAAATTTGTTTGAAAGAAATCCGGTGGTTTTGGCATGTTTTTTCGAAGAACACTATTTTTGACCAATTTTTTTAATGCCAAGGAGTAATTATGTCTCATTGGCAATATCTTTCCACGTATTGTTTGATATCAAAATGTTGGATCTATTGAGAGTGCTACGAGTCCCATATAAAATATGGCAAAAAGTAATATGAAAATTGTTACCCTATTTTAATGGAACTTGATGTGTATCTTAGTTTTAACCAGAAAAACTTAAGTCTGTAAGATGGCTAAAATCGGTTTCTTGTACGAACATCAGTCATAAAAAATCGATTTATAAAAACCAAATTGTATTGAACTCTATCTTCATTCCTAGGCAGAGGTCCTACATGACCAATTTCGGAAAAATCAGATCTCAATTACTACTTTTTGCCACAGCTGTATGGGGGTCTGCCAATATGAAGCGTCAAGTCTATGAAAGATAAACACAAGGCTGGCAGGTTCTAACCGTGGAACTTATTTCAATAGTTTACCCAGGGTTTAATGAGCACTGTAATCCCTATAGTTCCTTGGCGCACGTAGGCGCAAAGTAGTTACACTCTCCATAAAGTCACTAAAAATGCCTTAAAACATATAAATGATTTTAACTCTGAAAGTACTAAAAAAATTACGTAAACCCATGATGGGGAATTGGGAATTAAAGATGAAACCAAATCCAACAAAAACCGATCTTTTAATCACCAGTGTTAAGTCTGCGAAGTGCCTGTTCGCGTTCTTACGTAAAAATACGACTGTTGAAACACCGACATCAAGTACCCTTTGAATACTACTGGTGCCAGTTTTCTCCGGAAAAGACCTTAGAATATATTAATAGGTTTGTCTAGAGTCGAGCAATCCACTTAGTTGACTATTTCGATACATTTCGAAAATTGGAATTTCTGCCACTCTCTGCGCTGGTTTGTGGAGTCGTTATGGAATATTACTTTAATACGGATTTCGAAAAAAAAACTATTGAAAATTACTAAAACAAATTATAAAATCGAATCAATGTCGAATGTTTTCTCTGCTTACCAATCATTTCCAGTTTTGGACACATTCTGTCGCTTTCTACCGATCTGATGTGGTTTGGGCTCAGCAACCATATTGACATCTGTAATAAAAAAAATTAACTTATAACTTTATATTTATGTATGTATGTATATTAGGGTAGGGCAAATTGATCGGACGAAATTTTCTCGACAAATCGTGATTTATTTCTTGTTTTTATAGGTAATTCTAAGAGAAAGTGTAGAAAAAACCATACGGAATTGAATTTCAAACTTGCGCATTTTTAAAAGAAAAATGTTAGTTTTGCAATGCTTTAACCTTTTTTTGCAAATATTAAATACAAAATGTCTATATTTTAGTTTATTATATTTTTTAGGAATTAAATGCAAACCCCCTTATTTGTGTATACAGTTTTTACATTTTGTTAATCTTTCAAGTTTAAAGATCACAAAACAGTTGTACATATTTCCCTTTTCCAAATGATTTAATTTTATTTATGTTCACTCACTCAAATATAAAACTTTCACGCTATTGCCAAAACTATAATTTCACATTACAGTGTGGGTTTTCAGACTTGCCTGATTATCTGGCTATCTGCTTAAATCTGGGGCCGTAACAGTAACAACTTTTATTAAAAAAATCGTTCTTTAACAATTATTTTTTGACTTTTATTTAATTACTTCTTAAATAACCGTTATTTCCGACTTTTATTTTATTAATCCAAATTAACAATTATTTTTGATTTGTATCTAAATTATTTGCAAATAACAGTTATTTTGGATTTTTTAAATTATATGTCTTAAATAACAGTTATCGAAGACTTTTATTTATAAAAGTCATAAACAAAAATCAGTCACTGCTCTTTATTTTTTATATCATACTTATAAAAGTCATTTGTATAAGTCGTAAAAAACTTTCGTTTCCCAACACCTTCTTCTTCGAAAAATATTAATAAATTTTATACGAATGCTTTAAAAAATAAAAGTCGGTGACTGATTTATATTGATGACTATTAAAAGTAAAAGTCACTGACAAATTTTTATTGATGACTTTTATAAATAAAAGTCTTCAATAACTGTTATCTAAGACTATAAAAATCAAAAATAATTCAAATTTTTTTGATTTTGCATAAAAATTGCAAATATAAATTTATTTTCAAATTTGAGTCTCGGTAAAAAAAGAAATCGATTGGTAGAGCATTTCCTTCATAGTGAATTTTTCCAGGACAGTTTTCATCAATAACAGTTATGTTCGGTCCCTGGCTTAAATATTATTAATCTATAGTGTAACTTATTGCTGGAAACTGAATAAAAATAGCCAAATAAGCTGATAACCAGACTGGTATGAACATCCACAGTGTTTAATTTGTTTCATAATTTGCTGAACAAGACAAACTTGCATTGACAATAAACCCAATTTTAAATGGAAAAATTTGCCAAAAATTCTAATGGATAAATAAACAAATCAAACAAATTTTAGAAACTAAAACATAGACTTATTAAATGCAAAACTTTTAATATTAAAAGGTGGAAACGTGAGTTTTGTGTAATGTAATTTTTTTTATCTAACCTCTCTCGTCTGACACCCATGTTGTGATACATATTTCAATTACCTAATTCCCCTTAATTGAAGTTAGATAAAATTTTTTAAAAATATGAATTTTTTAGAAATATGGCCACCCTTTTACTTGCAGTTTAGAAAGAAAGCCTTTTCAAAACCATTTTAGTTGATGCCCATATTCTATTAATACATTTAACTTAATTGAATTTATTTCTTAACAGGTGGCAGCTGTTTTCTTGTTCTAGCCTAAGTAAGAAGCTTCTCCTCGCCGAGGTGAGCATGTAGGTATGCGGAACACGGCAACATATAGTCATTATAGTCATAGAGATGTCAAACTTTAAGCAACTTTATTTTATAAACATACATATGATTTAGTCGAATTTATTTACTCAAACAGATGGCAACCTTGTTTATGATATTTTCGAAGATGAAAATTCTTAAATCTCGTTCGTTTGACAGCCATATTGTAATATTTCTTTTATCTAATCAAGCTAATGGAATTTAATTATTTAAACACAACACTTGTTGTATTAAATGAGCTTTCTTAAATCCTTTGTCATTTGACACCCGTATTGAGATATTTGATCAATCTTATTGGCTAGTGCTTAGCGGAATTGATGGAATGGTGCTGAATTCCATTTCATCTATGTTGCCGTGGCCCGATTGTAGAAAGACGCGAGGAGAAGATTAACAGCTAGGTTTAAAGAGAGCTGCCACCTATTAAAAATGTATGCTAAATTAAATTAGGTTGACAAGATTTGTTCAAATCCACAAAATAGTACTTGGTAGAGCTTGTACCTAAACTACTACAAAAATAATTGAAAATATTTTTAATCATATTATTCTTAAAGTTGGCATAATGAACGGAAAAAGTAATTTTTCACGGAAAATAATTTTTTAATCAAGCTGAAGAAATAACAGCAAAAAATAGCAGAACAACTTCCGCCATGCAAAACACAGTCATTTGTCTTAATAAAAGTCGTAGCAGATTTTTCAAACCATACACCATTCGCCACGCGTACTATACATTAGACACTGAGTTGGATTGTCAAAAATATTCAAAAACATATTTACACCAATCCATAACCAGTGAAAAGGGTGTGACAACCGCAGAAGCTAAGAAACCAAAAAACAAAAAAAAACAGCATTTGCGCGCAAAGTTACGCCATGCCACGACATGCCACTCATCATAATTCATAGAGTCTGCAGACCGTTGCCATCACGCCACGAAAAACGCAGAGCTGCGACCACTCGTGGAAATGAGGCGGGCGCGCGTACACGACGACAAAGCTTACATGATAAAGGGCGTAAATTTTGAAATTTTTACTTCGTTTTTTTTTTTTTTGTGTGGTCGTCTTCTAGCTACACTAGCTAAAAACCATCGCACACACCAAGCTCACACAGACATGCCACCAATCCGTGTGCCTGTTGCTTCTACTCCTACTGCTGGCAACCACTACAAATTACCAGTATGACTGTTAGAGGCAGTCTGTTGCTAAACCCAAATCTCCACCTTTCCATCCACCCACCCACACAATCAAAATGTTGGGTGACGACTGTCTTGCCTGTCTGCTCGCTATAATTAAGATTAAGGATAAGAAATAAGAAGGATTTCCGTACGACTTTAAAAGCTAAGCGGCAAAGCGGTTTAAGTGCGTCGGATGATGGGTGGTTGGCTATTTTTGTTGGCGCTCGTTTGATTGCTGTACCTCGTCCTGGGTATGGATGCTGTTGGTGGCAGCAGAGTGAAGTTCTTCAGCAATGCTACTCAACCACTTGCACCCCGTCTTAAGTTCATTGTCTTTATCAGTTGAGTGAGCGCGTAAATGGAGCGTATCAACTAAAGTCGTTTAAAGTATTTCGCTGCTGAGTGAGTAAATTAAAGGCTAAAGCGAGCTTAAAAAGGAGTACAGCACTTCGCAGTGCAACAGTTGGCAGCCAAGTGGAGAGTTTCGTTTTTTTATTTTATTTTTTTTGAAAATCAAGTGTGAAATTTTTGCTTAATATTTTCAGCAGCTCATTTTTTACATATGTACATGAGAGTGTTATGCATTTTTCCCGCTTTAAAAGCATCGCACAACTAATTGAATTCCATAAAGCGCTCAACCCAACGACCAGCATGCCATCACTTTGCAGTTAAGAGCGTCAGTTCCACTGTCACTGCCAGTGCCAATTTTCATTTTCTACAGGTGGCTGCTGACTGCATAAAATATATGTACTTCCTCATAGAGCAAAAGTAAACACATGCATACATACTTGTGTCATGCTTGCTTTTTTTTATGTATGTATGTATGCATATCCATAGTACATTTGTGTGAAAATATTTGTTTGTAGATATGCCACTGTTAAGTGCATTAAGATGTTCTCACTGAAATCGCATATTTTCTGCATTGTTGAAAATAAATTTGCACCTCACATACAGGCCAGCATACATATGTATGTACACGTGTGTGAATAAGTATACGTACAACCACATGGGCATATGGACAGGTGCAATTGCTGTGCCACGAGTACCGCCAGCGCGCACTAACAGGAAGCAACGCACTTAGCAGCCAAGTCAGCCGACTGCATTCCCATTCGTTTCAACACATACACATACATGTACATAAGTATGTATATTAGGGTGGTCCAAAAATGAATGTGTAAAAGTAAAGTCGGAATTTGTATGCCATGTAGGATTGTTCTATACCGAAAATAAATATACCTCAATTTTTTTTTATCAAAAATTATTTAGAGGACTCAAAGTTTTCTATTTTTTTTATATGGGAGTAAAAACAATTTTTCTTAGAAATAGTATAGAATTCTTGAAAATGTATACTTTTCATACGAAAAACTCTGTTGCTCGTCAGGAGATCCCCAATAATAATACCCAATTGTTTATTTAGCCATTTTTTCATAGTAACTATATTTTATAGGTCCAGCAAAAACCTCAGAAAATGCAATAAGGGGTTCAATAAAAACCCTTAGGTATAAAAAAATAAAACAACTGTGTATTATTATTGGTCTCCTGAAGAGAACCAGAACCAATCGAAAAATATGGATTTTAAAGAATTCTTTCCATTTTTACCAAAAGTTGTTTTTCCCCCACATAAAATACATGGCAAACTATGAGCGCTGTGAGCGACCTCTAAATATTTTTTGATTTCAAAATAAATAAAAAAAATTTCGGTATATGACAATCCTAGGGGTTGGGAGCATTAAAATTCCGACTTTACTTTGTTTTGGACCACGCTAATGTACATACATATATAATTGTAACTACACATGCATTGAGGAGTAAAAAACTCATATGCAACTCTGTGATTTTTCCACATCCTTACCGTGCCATTTTTATAACTTACATATCAACGTATGTATGTACATATGTATGTATATTAGACCGCACCATCTTACAAGCAAACAAAAAATTCGACTTACACCTTCGAATCCAAAGAATTTTTGCAAGGAAATTTCGACATTTTGTTTTTTTTTGCGGACGTTGGTCACCATTTTTCGGCCAAATTTACATTCGGCTATAAAATTTTTTAATTTTTTTTTTCTATT